TTTCCTATTTGGGAACATCTGTCACCATTTTACTTCTGCTTTTATTATTAATCATGCTTTATATCATATCCATTAGGATCAAGGAGGCCATGTCCTCTATCTAGCTCTCCAAGTATCTGTTTAAGCTCGTGGTGACACTCAAAGACTTGGTGATCACTGTACAGTGTTTAAGTCTGAGCAACTGCACACATGTAAATGGTGAATGGAGCTCGTATAGTTCTTTTCTGGACTTCTGACAACTCGAAGCACTTTTTACGTCGCATGTCACACTCACACTCTGATGGCTGAGGCTATATACGCTATGGGGCTGGGGCTCAGTTGGTAGAGTTGGTCGTCTCTCAACTGGATGGTAAGGGGTTCAATCCCCAGCTCCTGCAGCCACATGTACGATGCGTCTTTGACAAAACCTCAAGTTGCTTCCACTGCTTTGTCGGCGGCATATGATTAATGGGATGTGTTACTTCTGATGGTCACTTTGCATAGCAACCTCCTGGGCGTGAATGGGTAGGTGCGACAAGCTTAAATCCATTTAGCATTCAAAGTGACCTTCAGTATGAACTAATCCCATTCATACACATTCACATCAGTGTTGGAAATGTATTGTTTCCCCTAACTGCCACTGTGACTGGTGGATTAAAAAATATACCAGTCACTCGTTTTATTTTACCTGCCACTGTATTTTAACCAGTGGCATAATGTATCATATCAAGACTTACAGTATTCAAGTAACATATGAAGGGAAATTAATCAACTATTAAAGAAAATACTGACATGTTCTTTGTTTTGCTCGTAAAAATAAAAAAATGATTATTTTAGTTGTTGTATTTTTTGAGGCCGGTAAGAGTTTCCATTGCAACCTTGTTCCCAAAGGCTGACTCGTTTAGCTGATTTAGCTGCAAATTAACCTCTAGAGACAATATTATGTGTCGTTTAAAAATCATGTGTTTTAAAATCAATCTGTCACGTTACTTGTTACTTTTATTTACCAGCCACTGTGACTGGTTGGTTGAGCAAATTCACCCGTCACTGTATACATTTGCATGTATTTGGTGGGTGACACGTGCTAATTTCTCCAACACTGATTCACGTTCCACTTACATCAGCACTTCAACAATGTGACTTCAGAACTTGGGATCAAACCCCGACCTTCCGGCGTATAGACGACTGACTCTACTGCTGATCCACAGCCGCCCCAAGATGTGTCTCAAGTGTCAGTAAACTTTTCCATGTTACACTCCAGAAAGCATTTCTAAACTCTATGAGCAGGTGTTTGTCATATTTAAGAGAGGAAGGTATGCAAAAGTTAAAAATGTATTAATATTACCTTTTAGTTATCTATAAATATACATCCATAAACTAAACAACAGGACTAAGTAGAGAACAAAATTGTGGCAAACAATCTACTAATGTTGATTTAATATTTGACTGGAAATTTTTTTTTTAGCTGTATATAGTACAAGAAATTTAGCTTATAAATGAAAAACATAAATAGGATAAAAGACATGAAATAATAGCTCATGTGCAAAGTACACAAAAAAATCATCATAATGGCAATTTTGGACTAACAAGTCTCACGTCGCACTTCTCTTAAACACAGAAGTACACTAAAAGAATTAGAGAAATACTATGTTTTTGTGCTCTCTATCAATAGGAAACTACCATACATATACAGCAGCCCACCTGCTGTCCTCCCAGCACAGAGGGTCTGCAGAGCCCGCAGTGGGGGGTATCACTCACTGCCCTGATTGATGACCAGAGGTCCCGCAGGAAGTAACCCCACCACCATGAAGGAGTGTTTTCTGAACCCTGAGTGGTATCCGGGAAAACAGAGCAACTCCAGTCAAGGAGCGTGTGTACTCATAGGCCATCCTAATGTTTGGATACACTGACACACTTGGGATTTAGATGAAAAACAAGGGAAAGGAATCAGGAGCACTAAATTAAAGCTCAGAGTGTGCGAATATTTTAAGGTGGATCACAACAACCTCTTTGCTTTAATGTTTTTTTTAAACCTTGTTTGTAAGATTTGAGCACCCTGTGAATATGTGACCTCTTTTCTGGATCCTTTCTCAGAACTCTAACATTTTTTCCAAATCAGTCATAGCTCAACAAAGTCTGCTGACCTATGAACCAGAATATTTACTGCTAGGCGTTTACCATAATGCTTAAATGTGTACATTGGGCATGAAATACATCACCTTTTTGTAATCATTTTGAAGCTACAAAACTTGGGAATATTACAAAATCACATTGTATGTAGTAAGGAATAATCCAGTAAAAGTATACAGTGCCTTTATGAACAATATTTCCTTGATTTTGAATAATTTAGGTGCAGATTCCAACTTTCCTCCACAGCTAGAGTGATGAAAACACAATCCAGATATGTTTCTGTAAATCCACAAAGTGAGTGAGTCCAAAAAAAATATCAGGGAGAACTGTTTGAATGTTTCACTGCAAGTGTTTTTTTGCAGTGAAGCTGGCTTGTAATTTCCACAATGAATTTATGTCTAAAACTCATCAGCACCTTTCAGAATTATTGAAATTCATCATTATAACATCTGTCAGCTTGTACCTTGTTTATGTACAGTGTTCAGAATTTTAAAGTTGGAGGAACAAAAACAATAAAAATTAAAATAGAATAATTTCACTTAACCAGATATAGTGCAGCTTAAAGAAAAAAAAGTTTAAGTATCCTATTTCTTGGTTAACAAAAAATCTCAACGGGCTTTTTTTTTAACTATCACGGTGTTTTTATGATACCAAATTTCATTTTTGAAGATATTTTGTTGGCCAACAGGGAAGAAAACGTTACATTATATAATATCGTTGTGAAAATATTTTGAACTTCCTGATTACATTCAAACTCAGAAACGTCCATCTTACTCGACAACCAAATGTGCTGCACACAGTCTATCTGACCCTTCAATGATGCATTAAGTCAGAACAGAAGAGATGCAGATTTTTCTTTTTTGCTGGATGCCTTTTATCTCAGAGAATTCAGTTGAATAACAATCGTAAATTTGAGTATTTAGAATGCAAAGCTACCTATGAGAAACACACTGAACAATATGTATTTATTTTAATTATTATTATTATTATATTATAATAATTAAAATCAGGAATGTGATGATAAAAACTCAACTGTTCAGACAAGCAGCGCTTTTATGCGGTTGCCTGCTGATTCATTTCAGAAAAATAATTAGTCAGCTGTAGGTCTAAAACTCTACAGCTGTATACTAAATACTAAAACTCTCCGGAACTGTTAAGTCTAGTAAAAACGAAAACGTTTGAAGATTCCTTTTTTTTTTTTTTAATTTTTTAAAATGAGATATGATAATTTAACTGAGTCTAGATGATCCCTACTGCGTCACCTTTTTCACGTAGTTTCGTAGCAGAAACGCAGCGTCTCCGCTAAAACGAAGGCCAAAAAAGTCACACGCAGTCTGTGGATCTTTTCAAAAGAGGCGATGATTTTTTATTTCTAATATCAATTATAGTTAATAATAACAATAGTGCCATATAACTACCTGATGTCATCTCTGTATCGCACAAATGTATTTTTAAAGCGTATGTATTGGACAGTATTTATAGCAAAACCCCCTGACCCTCACATGAAGCAAAGCGTCAATAATAGGTCAGAAAAAAAATGATGACACAGGCTATTCAGTGACGCAGAGTTCAGTCTAGTAAGAGGAGCTGTGGGAAGTTTTTTTTTTTTTTTTTTAATTTCTTAGATCGGGCACACAGCAAACAGAACAGGCTGCAGGAATAAACAGTTTAGAGAGAAAACAGATTGTAGGCTATAGGCCTCTTTGGGGAAAGTCTTGTAATTACGTGGAAACAGATCCCTGAGGCCGCATGTGGGTGGATTCGGACTGTCAGCTGCTCCCCTGTACCCACAAGTATTCATTAACGTGCATGATCAGATCTCTGATTCCCAGCATGGCAGGTACAAGTCACAGAAGCGATAGCATCAGCGCAGGCGCCCAGCAGGCAGGTTACACTACTGTTTTTTGTAAGTACAAGAGCGTACAGGACATGTACTTCATTTCAAGCCCCGAGTTAATTTGGTGCATATCTTAGATTCATCCCTTGGGATATATTCAATAATGTACTAAATGCTATTTATAGGCCTAGCCTCGCTTTTACTGTCATTGACGCCTGCAGGTCAAGCTTTCATTCAGACACAATCATCACTCTGTAATTTACAGTTGGGAAAATGCGATGAAAAAGGATGAATCATTCTTTAAGCTCTAACGAAGAGTCACTTTGTAGAGTCACTGAAACATAATATTTCCAGGCTAGCAAGAATAAAGATGCGATCCTGAAAGCACATTGAGTAAAAAAATAAAATAGTAAAAGCATTGCCCTCTCTCTCTCCTCAAACTTAAATAAATGCCAAAATGCCTACACAACATCCATGCATCCAAACCAACGTGGGGAAGAAACAAGCATTACGCAGCTTCGTGGATGAATAACATAAACTACAAGATATGGCGTGTAAGAAAGCCTTTATTTTTTATTATTATATTTACATTGAAATTATAAAAATATATAATTAAAGCTTTGGCAAATATTTTACATTTAGACAAATTCTCTCTTTGTTCACATCGTGGAGTTACTGAGAGTCAGATCATATCAAGTCATATTAGGTGGATTACAGAATAGCACTTTGTTTTCAGATAAAACACCAGTAACAAAATGGTTTGGTAAAATTGTACGTTTCTTTTAAATCCTGCACTCTCCGTGAGAGAATGTACAGCCAGACAACGTGAAATATTTCAATGAAGACATCAGACTTTCAACCAATGAGGGGAAACACCGATACGTCCATGCAATCTTACATTCATGTGGCCATGCAGGCCGACAGAGCTCTCCTGTGTGTGACTCTGAGCTACACACAAGCAGGGAAACAAGCCGCTAGTGTTCACACTTACTGTTGGAGTTGTTCAATGAGTTCAGTTTAATGGATGTTGTATTTAAGGTGGTATAAGTCCAGGTTATGATGAAGAGGTAGGGAGATTGAGTCCGTGCACGCTGTTCAAGTCTTCATGTTGCTGTTGTTGTTGTTGTTGTTGTTGTTGTTGTTGTTTGCTCAGGGGAGTGGGCGGCTTTCTGTCTCCTAAACAACACGATGAATAAATAGGTTACAGTTAACCTGCGCATGAAACGTCAGTAGAAATGATGAATCACTGCCAAAGACAAATGGCCTCCTTATAACGTGAGTTATTAAGCCTGCATGTGGAGTCATAGCATCTGAACCGTCAAGTAGACAAACAGTGCTTTTTTAACCGTTCATTCTGATGTGTTTTTGTAGTTTTTGTAGTTTACAAACGACCTTCGACCAAACGCTGATCAAGTCGTAATGTCAATATTGTGGGATTAAATCCTTATTATGTGCCTACTTCATTTGGGGATTTGGTAGCTTAAGATTTTCGATGTGAAATTACTGCAAATGAATATAAGAGAGGAAATAATAATAATAATTTGCACTGCAAAACCCAACAGTAAAATAAAACAACTCGTTCCAAAGAAGCACTTAGTAACACTCAGTAGGCTACACGTCTATAGTGCTCACATTAAACTGCTCTCGGCCCCCCTCTCTCTCTCCACGCTGTGTACCTTCTCGGGCCTGATGCTTAAAGGTCATCGGTGATTGGATTTCCCCTGCGTGCATGCCCATCCCGCCGCCCGGGTGGGACAGCGTCGGACTCTGTGGCTGCCAGTGATGGTGGCCCGGGGCCACGTAACCACCCGCAGGCCCGCTGTACACCCCGTACTGGTTGGTGGGAGAGTAGGCGCATGCGGACACGTAACTGGACAGTGTGGATGAGGGCTGCAGGCGAAGAGAGATAAGACATGGATAACATTAGCTCAAACCCCAAACGCACAGCAATTAATTGAATGTGAAAGTGGCATCCCGTCGATCGAAGCTTTTATAAAAGATGGTGTATTTGGGGTTTAGAATTGGAATGAATAAAATTCAAGAAAACATGACATTTACCTTTATTAGATGTACAAAAAAAAGACTTAAAGAGCAGGCTATGAAGACACAACTATTTTGCCATATCAGTTCAACCCAGATTTAGGAAAGAGGCCTAATCAACGATAATCAAGCTCCGAAGAGTGTCAGGGTTAAATGTTATTTAGGAGCATCTGTGGCCTTCTGTGACTTCTTTAAGGCTCTGTTTTATCACAGGTCTGCAGGCAATTCTAGTGAGAGACAAATTTATGAAAGGCCTTTTTCTCGTTTTGACACTAAACATTTTAACAATATATCAATATCAATTAACATATTTAATACATTTATCCATTATTTAATGTATGCATTTATATATTTTTACCTGGCCATATTTAATATCGCCGTCAATAGCTGATTTGTCTATCCCATTGACCGTGTGAGATGCAGGGAAAGCTGCTCTGTTGACGCTGCTCCAGTCCTCCATTTTTGGTCCGTATCCCTCCGCCCCAGTTATGGCTGATCAAGAGACAGGACTTCATGTCAATATGTACAAATGTAAAATTGCTTGAACAAACAAACAAAACAAATCAAAACAAAGAGAAAGACAAACTTATAACAACAGCGCAATAAAAAAGTAGGCCTTTGGTGTCCCATTTGGCTTTTAATTAATAATGTCAATTATATATTTACGAGTCTTGGGATAAGTCTGTCTTGGCTATAGAATATAGTTCCTTTTCAAAGCAAAAGTCCAATCTAAAAATACGTAATATTATAGTAGCCTAAGTAGCCTAAGTGTTACATAATTATATTTCTTAAATGTCAACCAATCAATTTTAAATGAAGGGCGTACTTGTTTTTAGAAATTAAGATGTTATATAAAAAAGACGTTGGTTTTAAGTTAATGTTAAAAAAATTACAAAACAGACAAAAAAGATAAAGAAAAAAAGCCGGCTGCTTATTAGCAAATCAACTCCTTTATTTTATAGTTCAATTAAAACAATTGTTAAGGCGTATTATGACAAATAGAGTCCAGAATTGTATCTTGTGTAACTTTTACTTGAGATTTTTTGTTTGTGCAAAATAAGTTGTAATTTTCAGAATTAGACTATCAGCTTCAAGCTGAATTTAATAAATTATTCTAAAAATGTGGAATTATATATGACTTTCAAGTGTTGTTAAGTATCGGTCCTAATGGCATATTAAATACACTCAAGGCGACTTACTATTTGTCAAAAACCTGACTAAAGGAGCAGAAGGGCAAAAGAAAAATGCCTGACTAGACTGCTTGAAGGATTGCGGGTGGAGGGGGTGGGGGGTTAGAGCAGGTGAGCAAAGTGTTTGCAAATGCACCATCCCATGAAAAGGCATATTGAGAGTGGGCTTACAGCTATCTGGCTGAGTGTTAAAACGGAGGCCTGTTCTAGTTCTAATGGACACCTCGCCCTGTTACAATTACTGCGTACTATACGGCAATCTATCATGCAGAATAACAACAGCGACATAGCTTTATTAAGCTCATATTTAAGAAGAGTGAGAGCTAAAGGCTGGCAATGTGGCACAGCGACGCATAGGCCTAACATTTCTTACGCAGCAGAGAGTGGTTGTGTTTCCCTCACCTGCAGGATCCATGAAGGCGCGTATACCGAGGATGTTGCTGACGGTGTGTGCAGAAGGCCAGGCTCTGGAAATGCTCATATGTCCCGCTGTCACCGGTACTCCAGGATGGCTGCCCATTTTAGTGCCAGTGGGCGACATGGTGTTGGGGTAGGAATATGGGTATATGTGGTTGTAGGAGAGCCCGGCCTGCGCAGAGGCCTGCTTGCTGCTCTCGTACTGGTTCGGCTGGGAGAGATTTCCAATCTTGTTGCGTAAAATCCTGCTGATGGAGCTAACCGACGGAACATTGTACTTGTCACAAACTCCATCTGCTAAGAGCCTGTCCCGGATCTCCCAGGCAAAGATCCCGGGGTCACTTTGTTTGTATTCCCTGATATTTTTCACCACGTTAGGCGTCGTGACCCGCGGTTTGCTTCCACCGATGGCACCGGGTAAGATGGAGCCCGTCTCGTTGTACCTCGCCAAAATCTTGCTCACGCAGCCGTGTGAGACTCGGAGCTGCCGGCTTATATCACAGGGTCTGATCCCGAGCTGAGCAAGCTCCACTATTCTTAACCGTATGGCATTGGGCAGGGGTCTCCCATTGACGAACACACCACCTAACTGGTTCACCTCTCCATAGGTTTGCTCTGCAGGAGAATAGAGAGACATGTGAAATATTATAAAGTTATTCCCAAACACATTAACTAAAACACAATCTCATCTTCCCGTCGCTTTAACGCTTTTCTTTACATAAATATAAAAAAAACAACAACTATGTGTTTATTATAACAGACAACTTCATATGTTTCAGCTGCATCAGTTTGACACAGACCATGTAATTTACACCATAACTGAGGTTACTTTTTTGGGCGGCAATCGCTTTTTGCAACTTAACACAAGTGCGTAAACTGTTTGGCGTGGTTTACAAGCAACCATTAGTGCACATACGACAACAAAAATATTAAAAATGGCGAGCATTAGGAATTGACACTCGGGTACCTTTCAAAGACATACTGTGATAATTGCTAGTGCTTTTCCATGAAAGATTTAAAATGGTTAACAGAAAATAATGGCTGTGAATAGAGCTGAAAATAACCTGTAAACATTTCAAGAGACTCTTTCTCTGCAACTTGAACAAAAACAAATGCCAAATTGTGTCCTTATGCAAGCGTGCAGTCTGGATACACGTCCATAAGCTTTCTGTCAGTGAAGCATCCAGATGGTAACGCAGGCTTACCCATTTGCCTATATGTTCCGAGATGGAAAATATAGGTGTCCGTTCAAATGGCTGAAAGCGTCCGAGCGAAAGCAGAGAAGGAAGGGGAACAGGAGGAAAGAACCCCAGAAGAGGAAAAAGAAACCCCTTAAAATCTCCTCCGAGTACAGCGCGCCCCCTTCCTCTTTGTTTTGTTGTTGAGCCGAGTCACTGAAAGGTAGAAGGGCACCAAAGTGGTCTTCATCCGATAAATGACAATTGGAGTTATCCCGGGGAGTCCAGAGTTTGCTGGAATTAATTTGACGCGTCCTCCACGTCAATCTTCGCTGTTATACGCCGAGCCTCTGCTTCGGTTTCATTGGTCGTCCTGCGCTGGAAACGCTGTCAGCCAATGCAAACCCCATCCGGTTGGAGCCGTGCAGCCTCCTTCAATATTTTGCATAGGGGAAGTGTCAGGAAGGGAAACGTTTCATCCAACATGCAGCCTTCTGGTGAGGACTTTTACTTGAAAGATTGACGGTTATTGAGACCTGCTTCAATAAGTTAGGCAACCAACGTTTCAAGCTCTAAATGTTGATTAAGTAGGCTATATCAAGAGTGTGCAAAACATGGATTAGAATTATGATTCATTGGTTTGTAAATGGAATTAATCAATCATTAAAACAAAGATAATTATCTTCTATTCATGCCACTGTGACGCTCATGAAGTGAATATTTTTTTCATTTTGTAATTTATTTCCATTAGCTTTCCATCATTGGGTCATGGAAATGACATGGGAAATCCACCTCATTTTTAAAAACTGCAGATTAATGAATGCATGATTAAAAAGACTCATGGAAACAAAAATGTTCCCATTAAATAAAATCATCACCACTGACAATATTCAGTAGAAGACTTGACAGGCATGTTGGTTTACACTGCAATCCTACACATTTGTCTTGTATTTCATTTTTTTGTGACGATTTTAACATGATAGCATACACTACTTTATTTTCTCCCCCTGGTTTTAAAACGGACCGAAGGATTTAAACAAAAACTGTTGGACTAACTGGATGTTGAGTAGTCATATGACCCCAGAAAAGAGAAACGTGCGCACCAGCAGCCTGGGTCTTTATAAGCCAGTGTTTGAGCATCAGACGTGGGAAGGGGCTCATGTAATCGATCCCTCTGTAGATTGCATCGCTCCCAGACTATGGGGATATCGACTGGATGCCGGAGACGAACATTATCACAGCATGTTCTCGGAGTTTCCTGTGCAAGTTTAGAAGGTATCGTTTATAAGCTTGCAAAACGTTACTTGTAAAACTTAACTGTCGACCCAATGGTAACAAGGTGCAATGCCCTGATCCACCCCACCCACCCTCCCACCCATCTCCTCCCTCTCTCCTGTCCACCTCACTCATCCCAACCAGGGGAAGCAGGATACACAGGCATCAGGTTGGGTTAGAGGAGCAGAGTCTTGGTGTGCGAGAATGTCGCCTTAGATGAGACAGAGTGATGAAAACTTTCTTTCATTATGGACGCTCTGTTTGTCTGGATTCTTGGGAGTGAAATCGGACATTGCTGGATTTGCATCCATGCAGCAGGAGTGTGAAATACAGGATACACTGGAAGAAGGGTCACTGTTGCTGCTGAGTGTACGTTATGGTTCTCACACCTATTGTCTTCCTCAGTCTCATTCTGTCCATGTCACTTTCTTTCACTCCCTCTGTTTGTCTGTCTGTGTCTCTGATTGGCTGGCTGGACTCCCCTCATCTGGACAACATAGGAATTGCACAAAATCTGCATGCAAGTGAACTATTAGTTACAGTGTAGGTAAACCGTTTTCTGACTGATTATATTGAATATTAATATGTAGACCCTTTGCATTTAAACTGGATGGATGGTAAATAACGCGGTTATACCCTACCCCCTATATTATTACGTTATATTGTTTTCCTTAGCGAGCCTACTTTATTGACTTAGTTTATTTTGCACATTGTGCATATTTCCTGTTTTGTAATTCAAGACATTATGTTTTGTATGCCACGTCAGTGTCTTTCATGCATTACTCGGTGTTTCTGATTGATTGTGTTAATTGAGCGACTCTGCGATCAACTAATGAGTTGTCTTTTACTCACTTGAATATGAAGATACAAATATATATTTAAAAGTTTAAATGAAATTGGAATTGTCAGGTCTTGACTTTTTTTTCTTTTCTTTTGTGTATTACCTTTCCAAGGTTGTTAGACAGATGGAAGTAGTCCTACATATTAACCTAACTTGAGTTCAAAGAAAATGTATTTCTGTTTGGTTTTTTATGCAGAACTAACAAACTCTCTCGGATTATAGGAGCAGAATTCCGCGCGACAGCGGATTTTATTTTTAACATTGTTAATTCATTCTATGTAGGTTAGGTATAGACAGTAAGCTCTATGTGCAAGGCACATGACCAAACCAGGTCAATGGTCTGGATTTATTACCATAATCATACGCTATTTGGCTTATACATTTTTTAAATAGTTTTTGAATTGATTAGTATTGCCAATGAAAGTCAGACTTGAATTTATTTTCTTGGAGTAGACTAATGGAGGCCTTATAAAAACGAATTACCAGAAATGAGATCGAGTGTAACACAGTAGTGCGGGAGGCCTTTTTTTCACATGTAGGCTACTTCAGGTGTGCGCCGGTGTGCCGTTTGTGTTTGGGTTCCTCGTGTGTGAGTGTGACCAAACATAAACAATCTCTAACGGCTCCCCTCATTTTTCAAGCTAGGTCTTTTAAGTGTTTCCATACAATATAAACCCGGATAAATAGCCTACTGTAGCCTGCTGTAAAAAAAATATTGCATTTTCATAGGTCCTAGGCCTATATTCCCCCACAGCCCACTGACTGAGGCTGTCCTTACTTTATTGAGATATCCACAAGGCTCACAGCCTGAAGTATCCATTGGCATTTCATCAGCAGAATTAAAAGACAAACTAAAACTGTAGTAATTTATCTTTGAATGACACCTGAGCCTTATAGAAACCAAGTCATGCTGTACGTAAGGCGTTTATGGAAGTTACGTAAGGACATTTTAAATCAGAGATATAGTCTAAATAGATTCGTTTTTATAAATATGGTAGTGGCGTGAAATACTGGACACCTACTCAAGGTTAAACGTATTTTTTTAGAGATATATAAACGACTGAAGCGTTAAAGAAGGATGGTAGTTTAAATAATGAGGCAATTGCATCCATGCACCATGTGTATTTTTCAATGATAAAATATTAACAGTTGGGGTAGGCTATAGCCTACTTTAAGCATCAGTCCCACATGAAGCCATCGATTTATTCGCTTTTAATGTAGTTTCATTGTTTTATTTATTTGGTTTGTCGAGAGATAAGATGGATAATTAATTTCCAGCTAATTCTCACCAGTCTTCAAAGAGTAGAATTTCCTCCTAAATCGCTTTTAGATGAGACAAATGTGAAGTCATCCGGTAGACACCTGACGCCCACAGGTGCACCGACCCCCGTCGGCAAATATTGGTGTTGGTTTTAAGTGTCATCAAAGGATTCACTTCCTCAAGTGTGCTTTGTCTTTAAAGTCTTAAGACACATTGAAGTCCTATTTTTCATTGTCTCTTGTGCGCGCGCGTGCGTGTGTGTGTGTGTGTGTGTGTGTGTGTGTTTGTACAATAATTATTTTAGTGATATTTAAGGGGACATTACACCAATGTGAGCTGGAGTTAATACAGGTTGTGTGTGTGTGTTGACAGGCTTGTTTTGTGAGCAAACCTTATACATAAGTAAACAAGTAAATAACTAACTCAGGCATGCCACTGACTTTTTTGGTATGAGAAAAAATGACCAAACAATCCGTAGGAGGCATGCGTTACATTTTAGTAAGAACCAACAGTGTGCAACATTTTGGACTATATCTTCCTATGTCTCATCAAAGATAACCTTGTTGAGATAATTGTGTCTTTCCATTTCAACAAAAGCAGAAAGAACATATTTCTATCAGACATGGTTTCAATTTTCTCTCCATGACTGGATGACCCATGGTGTTTTATTGAAGAGCCTTTCTTGTGCCTATAAGTTTTTGATTTAATGTTTGCGAGCTAAATGTTCTCAGGACTCAGTATGGGAGTTATTATGCAGGGTCCAGATTGTGTGCATTTAGCACACAAGGATCAACATGAGGCAAAAGGTCTAAAACAAAAAAGTATGTATTTGAAAACTTTGCTACTTGTAATTCCATAAGGACCCAAATCAAGTAGGTATAAAGCAAACTAAACTGACCTTTTTCAAAATCTAATTTTCTTTGCATGCTAGAACCAATACGTTGAACCTAAAGTTTCACATTCAGGCTGAAAATGTAATAAACCCTCATTGCTCTTAATTAGGAAAGAGGGCGAATCAATGTTTATTCTGGTAAATGCAAACCAAGCCCAACCTGTAAAGAAACATACTGATTCCTTGGTGTAAGCCCCCCCCCCCCCCCATCCTCTACAAAAAAGGTTTGTCCTCTCCTATCTGATCCTGAGGTGGTGATGTGTAGTTTCTTTGTGCTCCTGCTGGTGAGTTTCTGCTAAAAGGAAGTATGGAAGGCAGAAAACTCAGTTCTTTTATAGCTACAAGACCCACTCCGAGCTGCAGAACACGCCTAATGAGGGCGTGCAGCGGTGCCATGTGAGACATGCCAGCTTTTACCAGGCTGGGTAATTGCTTGTGACCTTCACTAAACACGTCTCATGTGTCTTCATGTTCTGAGCCCACTTCTAATTGTTACATTAAAGGAGATGCCTGAGGAATTTGCATGTGCCCTGGCTGTTTTGGGGGAAAAACAGATGAATATCTCAGGCTGAATCTGAAGGGAAGTGGCAGCTTTATGTTTGTGCATTTGTTTGTTTTGGCTTTGTTGTTGCATGTAAAGAAAATGAGTTGTGGAACTCTTCTCAGCGTTTATGATTACTCACAATTATACCATTAAGGAAACAAATACATCATTTTAAGGTTACATTATGTTTTTTATTAAAGGGCTCTTTAACTTTTTTC